GCGCGCCGCCCCGCCGATGGTGGCCGAGTGTGCGCACAGGGTCGTGCTGCAGCTGCTGGCGCTCCGTGTTTGTCAGGTAGCGCCGCCTCCAGCCGCTCGCGCTTTCCACGCCCACACCGTCCCACTGCTCCTGGCGTAACATCGCCAGCAGATCCTGCGGGATGCGGTGGGCGATGACACGCAACCCCACTTCCCGCGCGCCCTGGGGGACCTCGTACAGCAGCCGATTGATCCAATCTATCGGGTAGCGCCCGTCCTCCAGCGGAGGGGGGTGCCGTACGACCTCGCTGGCTGGGACCTCCACCCTGACGCCCTCGAGGCTAGTCCCGATGATAAGTCGTGCGTCCCCGCCAGTGCCCCGTACGTCGAGCCCCTCGCATTCTCCCAATAGAATATACCAAGGACTCGCCGGGGGCGCGCCGTACGCCTCCTCGGCTCCCCGAGGGTCGCCCGGGAGTATCGGGCAGACCTTCACGAGTAAGGGCTCCTGAAGCCACCCGTGATGGGCGATCCGATCGCCCGGGGCTCCGCGGTCGGCAGACCGTGAGCGTCCGCTGGCCCTTGCTTCCGCGGAGCGTGTGCGACGCGGCTGCGGCCCAGAGGCTAGGGCCTGCACCCCCGAGGGCTCCACATCGACGGATGGGGCCACGGCGGGCGGTGGCGGTGCAGCGGGCGGGGGGTAGACCGGCCCGGGCGCTATGCCAACCCCATCGGCGGCATGCGCGGTCCAATCGCGCGCCCTGGCGGGGCTTGGAGCCCGCACCCGCATGCGGCGGCGCAGGCCCCCGAGGATCCCAGGTTGGACCGTCGCTTCGACGCGCACGGTGTGACCCTCGTCCCGTCGGAGATGTTCCCCGCACATCGGGGCCCCCCCGCAGCTACCCTTCGCCATGCGGAGACAAGTGGGGAGGCTGCACTTGCGGCCGATCAGGGTAGACCGATACTTCTGCGCATGGTGGGCGCAGAGGTGCACCTGTGCATTGAGACAATGCCCCGGCCGGGGGACGTCCGACACCTCCGCGTCCTCCTGTAGCAGAACAGTAGCCTCCTGCATCCCTCGGTCGCCGCACCCCTCCGGCTGGAGGGGGCGTGCGCCACCCGCGAGCTGCACCCCAACTTGTGCGGCTTGGCAGGGGCGCTCCTCCGCCTCCACCTCGCTCTCCGAATCGATGTCCAGGCGGCGATAACCCGTGGCGTCGGTGATGTAGCGGGGCTCCGGCCGGCCCCGGCACAGCCATCCAAGTACCGACCAGGGTGAGCAAAGCAACCACTTGAGGACCCCGAATACCTTCCGGAGTCCCACGCCGACTGCCCGGCAGGCTGTGGCCTTTCCGTGCTCAGCCAAGTCCACGATCTGTGTGTGGTCAATGGCCGCGTACTGGTCGACATGCATGGGATGCGCCACTGGACAGGAGGCGCACTCGACGGCACGGCATAGATGCACGTTCCCTGTCTCCTCGAGGTTCAGCCGCCACTTGCGACTGGTGCACCCCAGTACCTGCCCGATCTTGATGTTGAGCCCGTGGCGGTCCAGTCGGTACCGGTCCGCGAAGTTGCAGCTGATGCGGGCCACCTGCCCGTGCTTCCGCAGAAGCACGTGGTTGTACGCCCGATTGGTCCCTCGGCCGCGGACCCCCTTTGTGTAGAACTCCGTCTCCACCACGCCTCCCAAGCCCGGCCCGCGCCAGCGCACCAGCAAGGGAGTCGGAGGGGGTGGGGGCAGATGGGCGCCGGGCCCATCGCCTCCGCGTCGCTGGCAGCACCGGGTAATCTGGTACCACGCCCAGCGGAGTCCCCCGGCTGCCCAGAGCATAGGCTGGGCTGCGGTGTTGACGATGAAGGCCAGGGCACCCAACACGAACGTGAAGATGCCTAGGGAAAAGCATAGGACCGCGGTCTCCCACCAGTACCCAAGCATATTAACGCCCAGGCGGTCGACGGCGGATCCAATCCATCCGCCACTCGTGCGGATCGTGCCCGCGTGGTCGGGGGAGCTTACCCACGCTCCGTAGCCCACGAACTCGAAGACCCAGGCTGCGAATCCCCAACCGGGACCCAGCCCCGCCTCCGGGGGCGGGGTAGGTGGCGGCGGAGGCGGTGGGGGCACGTTCCGGCCAGCCCACCAATGGGGCAGGTGCGGGACCCAACCACTCCACCCCCAATACCCGTCCAGCCCGCGCGGCGGGTCAGGCTCGCCATCGCCCGTCCGGTTTCCCGGGGCGGACGGCTGCCCAGGCGCACCCGTGGGCTCGTTGTTACCTCCGTATGCCGGCGTAGCTGGGCTGCCCGTGGGCTCGCCCTCGCCTACGCGCCCGATGCCCGCGGGCGTGGTCGTTGTAGTCGACCCTGACCGCGGCGGCACAGGGACGCCCGGCGTCCCCGGGGGCTTGGCCTGCGGCCCTCGCCCCTTTCCCCCTGCAGGCGCGGGCTTGGCGGGCGGTCCTCGCCCCTTGCCTCCCCCCCCACCGCCTGCCGGCAGCGCTGTCGGCCCGGGCAGGGCTGGCGGCGTCGGTGCTGGGACCTCCTGTCCCCCGCGCCCGAACGGCAGCCAGCCAAGCGCCCCTTGGACCGTGAGAGCACCGCCCGTAACCAAGATCATCAGGTGTGCTCCCAGGAAGCCCACAGCCATGGCACCACAGGCGCGCTACCTAGTCCGCGGACCAGCACGGCTGTGGTTATGGCCGCCCCGCGGCCCCCTGGAACACCCGCGCGTTGGCCAGAGCCGAACGCTACGGACCCAAAATGGCTACCTGAGCCCACACCCCCTCCCACTTAACCTGCAGTCTACAACCAATCAGACTATACAATCCTCCTCCTCCTCATCCTCCTCATCATCATCACCACCATCATCATCACCACCATCATCATGGTTTCTTGTTGAGTATCCCTTTTCTCCTCACCTCCTCCTCCTCGTCCTCCTCTTCGTCTGCCTCCTCCTGCACAGCATCTCCGCTATCCTCTTCCTCCGTTCCCTTCCTCCTCCTCCTCCCTCCTTCCCTTCCTCCTCCTCTTCCTCCTCCTCCTACTCCTGCTCTTTCTCCTCCTCCTCCTCCTCCCACTCCTCCTCCTCCTTCTCATTATTGTCCTCCTCTTGTCCGGGAGCGTCCGAAAGCCCTCCTTCCGAAAGCATATAAATATGCACATACATATGCACGTACATATGTACATATATACAGCTTACATATATACATATATATGCACATATATGCATACTTATACATAGTTAAACATATGTATGTTCATATGTGTAGACATGTATACCTATGCGTGTGTATGAAAATGCCTGCACATTAATGTGTTTGTACATATGTATGATACCAGAGAAAAGCCAGTCAACATCTTTTGAGGGCTGTAGGGCTATGGGGCTATTTGGCTATAGGGCTGTAAGGCTATATGGCTATTGGGCTATAGGGCTATAGGGCTATAGGGCTATAGGGCTATAGGGTTATATTTAGGGCTATACGGCTATAGGGCTATGGGGCTACTATAAGGCTATAAGGCTATAAGGCTATGCGGCTATAGAGTTACCAGGAACCTGGGCACCAGGGCACCCGGGCACCAGGGCACCCCCGGGCCCCCGGGCACGCGGGCACCCGGGCTTGCCGCCGAAACTGGCGCCATACCTCACCTAAGTACACGAATCTGGTAGGACCCCCACAGAGGCAAGCTCTGATTGGGGAATATGTATTTGCGTGTATCTATCTGTATAAGGGTCTGTGCATCCCTCTATGTGTCCCAGCTTGTCTCTCTATAAATGAATACATGCATACATGCATACATGCATACATGCATACATGCATACATACATACATACATACATACATACATACACATAGATAGACAGGCAGGCAGACAGACTCACAGACAGGCATGCATGTATGCAGACATACATACATACGTACCTGCATACATACACACATACATACATGCATGCATGCATGCATGCATACATACATGCAAACATGCACACACGCACATACAAACATAAATACGTATGTACATGTATACGTAGATACATACATACAGATATACATGCATACATTCATGCATACAGGCAGACAGAAAGGAAGACAGACAGACAGACAAGACATGCATGCATACATGCATGCATTCGTACATGTAGACCCGCATACATGCGCGCATGCATGTATGCATACATGCATGCATGCAAACACGCAGACACATATATTGATACATGTATAAGCACATGCATACCTACTTATACACATGCCTGCAATACTATATGCATGCAAACATACATACATACACACATACATGCATACATATATACATACATACGTACATACATATATATGTATACATGCATGCTTGCGTACTCGCATACCTACATATAGGCATACATAAATACATGCAAACATATATACATATATATATGTACATACATACATGAACAACTACGTGTGTGTATATATATATATATATGTACACATACGAATATACCTGCACACATCTATAAGAGAGGCCCGTGCTTATTTCTCGATTATGCTCCAACCTACCTCATCTCTCCAACCTTCTCCTTCCTCCTATTCCTCATCCTCAACACCCTTTCCCTTCCCTCCTCCCTCCTCCTCCTCCTCCTCCTATTCCTTATCCTCACCCTCATCCTCCTCATCATCATCAGCATCATCATCACCACCATCATCATCTCCACCATCATCCTGGTTTCTTGTTGAGTACCCCTTTTCTCCTCACCTCCTCCTCCTCCTCCTCCTCCTCCTCCTCCTCGTCCTCCTCTTCGTCTGCCTCCTCCTGCACAGCATCTCCACAATCCTCTTCCTCCGTCCCCCTCCCCTTCCTCCTCCCTCCTTCCCCTCCTCCTCCTCCTCCTCCTACTCCTGGTCTTTCTCCTCCTCCTCCTCCCTCTCAGTCTTGTCCTCCTCCTCCTGTCCGGAAACGTCCGGAAGCCTTCCTTACGAAAACTTCGAGAACCTTTCGACGACCTGCGCGGAAACTCGCTGTCGCCTACGGAGCGCCCAGGCCTCGCCCAGCGAGGACGAAGACGTGCTCGTCTCGAGGTGCCCGTCGTCGGGCGCGCCTCCGCCTGGCGCGGCCGTTGGAGCCTTCCGCTGCGCCAGCCCATCCTGCCTGCTCCTCCTCCTCCTCCTCCTCCTCCTCCTCCTCCTCCTCCTCCTCCTCCTCCTCCTCCTCCCTCCTCCTCCTCCTCCTCCTCCTCCCCCCCTCCTTCTCCCCCGGCCACCTCCTACGCCTCCTCTCCTCGTCGATGTGTTTCTCCCCGTCCTCCTGCTCGACATCCTCCTGTTCCTATTGGTGGCATTGATAATCCGAACCTTCCTCGCAAAAGCTGAAATAATCCAACAGCTTACAGGATGGAGGACCTGTGGTTTTCAAAATGCTGTCCTCGCCGTAGCGCCGCTCACACTCGGGCAATTCTCAAAATGCACCTCTCGTCTTAGCGCCGCGCACCTTCGTATAAAAAATTACAACACCTCCGAAGATGGAGGGCGGCTCGTCTTCAAAATGTTGCTCTCGTCGTAACGCCGCGCACATTCGTTGTAAAAACTTGCGTCCGGTACAAAAATGGAGACGAGTCCCTTCTCACATTGGGGCTCTCGTCTGGGACTTGTTCAAAGTTGGCAGTATGCCGCAGCCGCACGTGTGGCTGGCAGCTCATTTTTTCAAAGTGTGGATGTCGTTTGGATACTCCTCCAGCTTACTGGCCAAAGGTACAATACGGCGCAGCAATTCACGAATGTGGGGCAGTTCCTTTTCAGAACGGTCCCCTCGCTGAACACCACATCTGCTTTGAGTGAGGCTGCTTCCTCACATTCCTTATCACTCGCTGGAAAGATGCAAGCTAAGTCCCTTTCAAGACAGGCCTCTCGCCCGAATGGCCGTTCGATAAGGTGTTCGTATTTCAAAAGGGCGCGCCCCGCAGTGAGAAGGAAGGCGTGTAGGACCTTATGAAGACGGGGTTTGGAACGGAAGGGTGTGTTGAAGCATCGTTGACGCATCCTGGGTTTACTCGAATCCTCGTCCTTCTCCTCTTCCTCCGCATCTGCCTCCCCGCCCTCCCCCTCTCCGTTGTCCGTCCCCTCCCACTCCTCGTCCGTACGCTATCCTCCTGCCCCATCCTTATCATCCGACCCCCCCACACACACAAATACAAACACTTTCTGCGTCGGCGGCTAGGCAGAGTGACTGCGCTGGCGGAAAGAGCGTGTGTAGGACATGCGGATGCGAATTGGACCGCGGTGCACGAAGAGGGGGGGGGAGAGGAAGCCCGGCGCGGGCGGGGGAAGAGGGGAGGCCGGGCCCGCTCAGGGCGGCGCCAGGCCGCGGCAGGGGCAGCGCCGGGGCGGCGGGAGGGCGGCGGCCGCGAGCGGCCGAGGGCCGGCAGCGAGGAGGCGGCCGAGCCAGGCGGAGGGGGGACACGGGCCCGGCAGGAGCTGGGGGCGGGCAGCGCAGCGGGGCGGCCGTGTGCCGAGGGCGGTGCGACCTCCAGGCGGCCCGGCGGCGGCCAGAGAAGACCACCTCAGGAGAGGGGCCGGGGGTCGCTGGGGGAGGATCCCAGCAGGATGGAGAAGAAGGCGATGGCAGGCGGAGGCGCCGAGACTCGAAGGACCTGCCAGGCGCCAGGCGCGCGGCTGGCCGAGACACCCCAGGAGGGGCGGAAGGGGCCAGGGCGGGGCGGAGCAGCAAGGCGGGGTGGGCCCCCCGTCGTAGCCGACGTGGGGGCACGCCGGTCTGGCCTGAAGACCAGGCAAAGAGGAAGCTGGCAGGGTGCGAGGTCAGCCAGACACCCAGAGCCGAAGGGAGCCTGGCGGAACGGGCAAGACTAGTAAGGGGCCGAGGGAAGGAGGCCACGGGCGAAATCCCGTCCGAAAACCTGCCGAAGGCCGGCGATCCAACCTGCCAGGGCAAGGGATGCAGCGGCGGGGGCAGGGGTCTCCCCCAGGAGCGGGGACAGCGCCGAAGCGGCTGCCGCGCCAGGGAACGTGGCAGCGAGGGCGCGCGGAATCCAGGGGCGAGCGGCCAGTGGCGGCTGGAGGACCCCGACCAGCGCTGCAGGGCGGGGTCGTTGCTAAGCCAGGAGTGTCGGCAGGCGTTTGCCCTTGCCCTGGGGAGGGGGGCCTTTCCCTTTGCCCTTCCCGCTCTGGAAACTGAGCCGCCTCTTTTCCATCTCCTGCTCCGATGAGGCGTCCCAGTCGACGCAGATATGCTTGTTGCAGGAGAGGACCCGAACGTCAAAGTCGGCCTCGATGAGCTGGGTGCCGAAATCCTGGCAGAATTCGGGAGGGAGGCGGCCTGGGTCCCTGATGGACCCTGTCTGCCCCATTCTGTGGTCGCACATGGCGTCCCAGCCATTGGTCAACATGGGGCCACACTCCTTCTTGAGGCGATTGACCACTTCCTGCCAGTTCTCCTTGCGCTGGGCAGGATAGTCCCATCTGGGGCGCCAGGAGATGGACTGGCGCGGCTTGTTGTACAGCCTGTCATTGGGGTTCCAGTGGGGAGCGTAGTCACGAGGCAGGATTGGCGTGCGGCGAGGGGGGCTGGCCTGGCGCCAGGGGTGGGACACGTTCCCTCGCCTCCGTCCCGCGGCCACTCCCCGGGGCTCCCGGGCTGTGGTGTTCGAAGGTGCGGGGAGCCTTTCGCACGGGTGCATCGTCGTCTCCTCCAGGCGCGCCGCCGTCGGACTGTTCGGCTCGTAGCTCTGGCCCGCGCTCGGGGCTTGGTCCTGGAGGTCCGCCAGCAGGACGGCGTGGGGACCCGCGTGGGCTGGGCGGAGCTGCATCGGTGTTCTGGATGGACGGGCTGCCCAGGGGTTGCGGCCCTGGGGGCCCGCTCCAGTCGCAGCTGGCCGAGCTGGAGCGGGAACGCGCCGCTGGGGGCGGGTTGGGGGACCGGCTGGCCTGCCGACGAGTAGCCGTCCCCGGGGCGCCGCTCGAGGTCCCTCTCTGCTGCACGCGCCCACTTCCGCCGGTGCCGAGGGGTGTCGCGCTGGTCCCGCGCGCGCTTGGGGCAGGGCTGCCGTCGGCCTGCTTGCGAACGTCACGCTGCGGGGGCGCGGGAGGCGGGGGTAGTCCGAGTCTCTCGGCGGGTGCACCTGCAGGTTCGGTAGAGCCACTGCTCCTCCTCCTCCTGCTCCTTCTCCTGCTCCTCCTCCTCCTCCTCCTCCTCCTCCTCCTCCTCCTCCTCCTCCTCCTCCTCCTCCTCCTCCCTCCTCCTCCTCCTCCTCCTCCTCCTCCTCCTCCTCCTCCTCCTCCTCCTCCTCCTCCTCCTCCTCCTCCTCCTCCTCCTCCTCCTCCTCCTCCTCCTCCTCCTCCTCCTCCCGCTGGGCCCGCGGGTCGCCGCCGTTCCCGTGCCCTGGGACGGGGCAGGGGTACTGTTGGCAGAGGCGCTGCCACAGCGACGGGGGAGAAAGGTCTGGTCTCCTTCGTGCGCCTGCCGGCTCGAAACTGGCTGCCCGGGGGTCCTGCAGGTTGCTGATGTGCCTCGAAGCCAGGTAGCCGAGCAAGACTAGGGGGCCACATGCGAACCCTACCCATGCCCCCCACGATTTCTGAGGGGCAGGGTGGGGTTCACTCCGCTCGGGAGCTCCCGAGCGAGGCGAACCCCACCCTCCCCCTCGGAAATCGTGGGGGGCAAGGGTAGGGTTCGCACGTGGCCCCCTAAAGACGTCCTGGCTGTGCCGCGCAGGATCGCGTCCTTTCTTGCTGGTCCGGGGGTCGTGAGTCTGCCAGCACCTGTCCCATTCGTCAGATCCGCTGGGGCCCCGGGAGGAGGGACGTCGTCGCTGGCCGTGTAGGTGGCTTACCAGCTGAGCCAGGGAGGCGTGCCTACCGTCCCATTCGGATGTCCTCAGGGAATCCTGAGGGAGGGAGGGCCTCGCCGTAAATGGTTGTGAGAAAGTGCTGGCAGCTGGGCTCGGTCCATGCCTTGGGGGAGGAGGAGGAGGAGGAGGAGGAGGAGGAGGAGGAGGAGGAGGAGGAGGAGGAGGAGGAGGAGGGGAGGAGGAGGGAGGATGCGCGATGCTCGAACGTCCAAATCCTCCAAGCCTCGTCGATCTGGGGTGACAGTGAGCGGGCGTCGGCAACCGTGATGTGGGCGATGGTGTTGTCAGCCTCCCCGGCTGTGCGCGCCGGGTCAATGTGCCCAGTGCTCCTCCTCCTCCTCCTCCTCCTCCTCCTCCTCCTCCTCCTCCTCCTCCTCCTATTTACCCTCCTCCTCCTCCTCATCATCTTCATCATCATGTGTATCTTTCTTCTCCCCACTTCCAGCTCGGCGATCTTCCTTGCCTTGAGGGGTGGGCAGGCGGGAGGGGCAGCTTCGGGAAGGGCGTCCAGGAGACTGCTGGGGGGCCGTGGGGGCGGCGTCGGCGGCCTGTCCTGTGCCCCAACCGTCCTTCCCTTCAGCTGACGCGGGACGGCTGGTCCTGGGCGGCAGGGATGCTGCGAGGCCGCGGCTGGCGTGCCTACTCGAGGCCTCGCCCTTCTGCTCGTCCTCCGCCTCTTCCGCCCCGCCCTCCCCCTGTATGTTGTCCGTGCCCTCCCACTCCTCGCCCGTACGCTACACTCCTGCCCCTCCTCGCCATCCGACCCACACACACACACACAAACAAACAAACAAACAAACAAACAAACAAACAAACAAAAACACACGCACAAACACAAGCACAAGCACAAGCACACACACACACACACACAAGCACACACACACACACACACACACACACACACACACACACACACACACAAACACACAAACACACACACACAGACACAAGCACACACAAGCATACACACACACACACACACACACACACACACACACACACACACACTTGTTGCTCGGTCGCGGCCTCGCCGCGCGCGGCGACGACGCGGAGCAAGTCGATCAGTCGGAAGCGTTCGAACGCCCCTGGCCTGGCCCTCCGACGCGGGACCTCTTGGGATCGACCGCGCGTAGCCAGCCCGGCAAAGTTGGGGAAGGAGAAGACTGAGACAACTTCCGAAGACGGAGACGGCGGTACCCGGCAAGCGACACCGACGAGGGGAGAAGCGTGACCGGGCCGACACCCGAGAGACGCCCAAGAGGGCCCCAGGACGGCCCCAAGAAGCACCGAAGAGGGTGAACACGAACCGACAATTCGAGCCTTCCGACAATTTACTTCCCATCGCTTTTGGAATGGGTTTGGGGTTCTCGCCTTGTCGAGCTTCCCACGCTCCAAGGTGGCCCAAGAGGCACCCAAGACCCCCCCGAGACTCCTGAAGACACCATCAAGAGAGCTCCAAAACTGTCCAAGAGGGCTCCAAGACGGCACAAGAAGCGCCCCAAAATGCCCCACAGGGAAGGGTCCCAAGACAGCCCCGAGAAGGGCGCTAAAGTGGGAACACAAATCAAGCATTCGATCCTTCTGCCCCAGAGGCCCCTGGCAGACCCCCTTGTTCTCGAATAGTTGCTACTCAGAATGCTGCGCTGGCACGGTGGCGGCATTGCCGGAGGCAGCTGCATAAGGGAGGAGGAGGAGGAGGAGGAGGAGGAGGAGGAGAGGAGGACGAGGAGGAGGAGGAGGGAGACGAGGAGGAGGAGAAGAAGGAGGAGGAAAAGGAGGAGTGGGAGGAGTGAGTGGGAGGAGGAGGAGGAGGAGGAGGAGGAGGAGGAGGAGGAGGAGGAGGAGGAGGAGGAGGAGGAGGAGGAGGAGGGAGAGGAGGAGGAGGAGGAGGAGGAGGAGGAGGAGGAGGAGGAGGAGGAGGAGGGAGGAGGGGAGGAGGAGAGGAGGGAGGAGGGAGGAGGAGGAGGAGGAGGAGGAGGAGGAGGAGGAGGAGGAGGGAGAGGAGGAGGAGGAGGAGGAGGAGGAGGAGAAGGAGGAGGAGGAGGAGAAGGAGACGAAGAAGGAGGGAGTAGGGAATGAGGAGGTCGTTGAGAAGCAGAGCGGGAGCAGGTGGTAGGAAACGTGCACCGGCAGCCCTGCAGGCAGCTCGGGCATTCCCCGAGCGGCGCAAGGTGGCCCGCCTGGCTGGGGGTGCGCTCCCGGCGCGTCCTGGCAGGGGGAGAAGATCTCGCCGACCTCGGTCCGCGCCAGCGCCACATGGGCCCCAAATGTGTGTGTCATCGTAGGAAGATCCACCTTTGCGGTCAGACTCATGACGAAGCCGAGACGAGGACAAATTCAAACTCTCGAAGGTCGGGCGGCTCCGGGAAATGCATCGGGCGCCGCGGCCTTCTCAGAGCGTTTCGGAACGCTCTGCGAGCGTTCCGGAACGTACTGGATTTACCCTAGTCCCAGCACCGCCCGAAGACTGCCCTGACAGTGCAGAAGACGTCACCGTGCACAGCGTCAGTGCTGTTGCGACCGTGGGCGCTGACACGGTCGAAAACAAGCATGTTGTGTTATACACCACCCTTCTTTCGCGCAACACACTCAGCAACGCATTCGTGCACTGTGACTGCCCGTGCTGCGAAGGCCAGAATCAAAATGGTACTCCTCAGCATTGCCATCACCATGCCTGGGCAGGGACGTCTCTAAAACTACCAGGACCGCGCAAGGTATCACAACTTTTCGCACCGATGGCTGTGTAAACCATAACCTAGACATAATCGCACAAGTGTAGCCTCAACGACAGATGTGCCTCCTACTTCCTCCTGGTTCTGATACTCTTCCTCCTTGCTCCTCCTCCTGTCTCCTCCTCCTTCCCGTGCTCCTCCCTTTACTAATTATGGCTTGACCTTATTCTTCCTCCTCCTCCTAATCTTCATCATGATCATCATCATCATCATCATCATCATCATCATCAGCAGCAGCATCATCATCATCATCATACTCCTCCCATCCACCACTCGTCCACCCCATCTTCCTTACAATGCATTCCTCCCCGTCGCACCACCAGAAGTATTGGCACGGCGGGCCGGGCATTGAGCCTGGAACTTCCTCATAATATCTGCAAATGTGCGTATGCACGCACGTGTATATATGCACATACATATAGCAATATGTTAGCCGGCTTGGACCCCAAACTGTGTGTCTTTGGGGAATATATGTGGTGCTCTCTAGGCGACGCAATGTATGTGGTGCCATCTATGTCGAACTGTAAATGTGGGGCAAACTACATAATGCAAGAGGGCTGTGCAACTTATGGTGTGAAATCTACGATGTGCAATGTATGTTGTGTTAAATATGTGGTGCAACAATATATGTGGTGCAATTCACTTTGGCCGTCTTGAAGCTGTCCTCTCTACTGCTCGTGCAAACATCCCACCCTCCCAGCCGCAACTTGGTCGCAAGACTTCTTAAGACAAGACCGTGACGGTAGGTACCACATGGCACTTGGCCACGACACCGACGCCAACGACGACAGCGACAACGACGACGACGGCGCCGCCGACACCGACTACGACGACACCGCCGACGTCGACGTCGACGAAGACGACGACGACGCCGACGCCGACGACGACGACGAAGACGACGACGACGTCGCCAACGAAGACGACGACGAGGGGAGGGAGGACGACGACGGCGGCAACGACGACAACGACGATGGAGCAGGGAAGACGGCGACGACGCAACCGACGAAGAAGGAGGAAGGACGGCGACGCCGACGACGACAACGACGAGGGAGGAGGGAAGACGACGACGACGACAACAACGACGAAGACGACGACGACGGCGACGACGACGATGAGGGAGGAGGATAAGGACGAGGGAGGAGTGAAGACGACGACGACGACGACGACGACGACGACGACGACGACGACGGCGACGAAATAGGAGGGACACCGACGAAACGCCGACGAAGACGACGAGGGAGGAAGGACGACCACGGCGACAACGACGACGGAAGCGACGACGACGCCAAGACGACGACGACGACAACGACGACAAGGAAAGACAGAAGACGACGACGGCGGCGACGACGACGACGACGGCGACGACGAGGGAGAAGGGAGGACGACGACGACGACGACGACGACGACGCAAGAGCGCGCGCGCGCACGCTTTTGTTGAAAATCCGTGTTGCGAAACCTTGTGTTTTTGTAGGTTATTTGGACACACGATTTTGAAATCCTTCCGAAACCCATGGGTTTGAAGGTTTTCGGCATACGCGCGCGACGACGCGCGCGTCTGCACTTCGTCCCATTTTTTTTGCAGAGGATTCTCGCGACGGCACACGCGCAAGGGCGTTCGACAGATTTCGACATGCGCGCGCGAAGCCCGTTTAATAGCATGTTGTGAAAATCTTGAAAAACCTATGGTTTTCTTAAGATTTCGCAAGAGCTCGCGCGGAAACTTTTTTTGCAAATCAGTGTTGGGAAACCCTGTGTTTTTGTATGTGTTTTGGAAAATCGATTGCGAAATCCTTCCGGCACCGAAGGTTTTTGAAGGATTCCGGCATGCGCGCGCGACGACGCGCGCGTGTGCGCACTTCGTCCCATTTTTTGCAAGGGATTCGTGAAAAAGTGCTATGTTAGAACAAAAAATGTCACCGCATTGTGTTTTTTACAAGGGAACCTCAGGGAGGGGATACCGGTTGTCCTGGGACATTGTGATTTCATATTTAGGATGGACATGTGGTCAGAATCATATTTGATTTACATACCCGAAAGGGGGGGGCGATAACTCTGGGGGGGGTAGAGTCTATTCTCTTTTTAGAAAGGAGAATATATGTGGCGCACTGCCTGTGGAACTGTATATTCTGCACAATATTTGTCGTACAACCTTTGTGATGCGATATAATTGGGGCAAACAATGTTGTACAATATATGTGGTGCAACCTATGTGGAGCAAACAATATTGTGCAACATCTGTTGTGCAGTATATGTGTGGTGCAATCTGCGATGTGCGATGAATGTGGTACAATACAGGTGGAGCACTCTATGTTGTGCAATACATGTGGTGTAATTTATGTGGAACAATATGTGTGATGCAATATATGCTGAACTATGGGTGGTGCAATGTGTGTGGTGACATCTATGTGGTGCCACATGGTGTTGTGCAGTATCCTCCTCCTCCTCCTCCTCCTCCTTCTCCTCCTCCTCCTCCTCCTCCTCCTCCTCCTCCTCCTCTCAGTCTCCCTCCCAATAATTACTCTTCTCCCTCTTGCCCCCTGTATTGTTTCTTCCCCTCAACCACAGCGCTCCACCTGCCCCCCGCGACCTCAGCAGGCCGCCCCCACCCCCCAGCCTTCCCCAGAGGGGCACTGAGCAAGCGGCCCATCCGAGCACCTCGTCCACCAGCACGTCCCCCAACTTCCACACCTCGTCACCAGAGAACCGCGCCCCCGCGGTGATGGAGGTGGAGGCGCGCACGTCCCAGTCCTTCCCGGGGGCCCCCCAGGCGGGCCGGTGAGCGCACGGTCGATCCTCCATGGCATTAATCGGTCGAGCTGCCCTGTGCTCAAGCGTGGAGGCCCCTTGTTCGCTGCGCCCGATCGTGCGATCTGGGTCTGGCCGTGTGACAAGCTCTGGCTGTGGCCGACCCCCTGCTCTGCAGAACTGCCAAGCATCTGAGACGCCTGCAGCCCACAGCCCCGACAAAGCCCGCCCGCCTGCCGGACATTAATCGAGGTCACCCGCCGTGAGCCGTGGACGCAGGACGACAAGCCCCTCTCGCCCACGGAGAGACCGAGAGATAGCGCGCCTGCAAGATCACAGGCCAGGAGGGTAAGGCAAAGTCTGGCCTGCGGGCCTGGAGCCCGCGCCGAGACGAGAGAAAAGGAGGGAGAAGCCCGCCACTGGAGGGGGATGAAGGGCAGGAAGGCAAGATACGCCCTCCCCCACGTCGTCGCCCTCGACGCCTCCTCTCGTCTGCTTCGTCGTCCTTCGACCTGAAGTGCTCGTGGCGCCAGACCCCGGCTCGGCGGAGGGACGGCGCAAGAGATGGCCTCCCCGACGCGGGTAGCCTGGAAGGGCAAGGGGCCTCTCCTATTACGCCCCTCCCTCCTCTGTTTCCTTCGCCCCTCTCTTCGCCTTCGAGTCCCCCCCTTGCCTCTCAGGGGCCGCGCTGAACCCCCAGGCTGAGCAGTCCCGTTCTCACCGCTCTGCTTCTGCAGGAGACTGCCAGACCACCAGCAGAGCTCCAGGGCCGGAGCGCGCGGACAGCCCGAAACCGGCGCGAGGCGAGGGGCGCAGGTGGTAATGCCGCGCGGGAGCGGGCGGCGAGCAGGGGCAGCCAGCATGGCTCAAGCGCTCCTCCCCAGAGCGTCACCAAAACGTCCTCCCCAAGACGTCTTCCCCAGAGCGTCACCAAAGCGCTCTCCCCACTCGCAGAGATCGCCTTGAGGTGCTCGCCACTGTGACGTAGGCACTGCGTGGAGTGGCCTCGGCCCTCCTGCCTCCCCCTCCTGCAGCGGCGACTAGCCAGCGGCGGCGGCAGTCGCCAGAGAGGAGGAGGAGGAGGAGGAGGAGGAGAAGGAGGAGGAGGAGGAGGAGGAGGCAGAGGGGCCCAAGAGGCAGAGGGGCCCAAGACGGCCCAGGCGGGCCCCAATACGGCCCAAAAGGCTTCCAAAAGCGCCCCAAGAGGAGCTCAAGACGGAGAAGGCGAAGGGGCGTTGAGAGTTTTTCCCCCAGATATTCCCCGCTAGGACACCCAACATGCCCCGAAGAGCCCGCCCGGACACCCAACATGCCCCGAAGAGGCTGCCCAGAGGCCCCCGAGAGGTTCCAAGGGCCACCTCAACAGGCCTCCAAGAAGCCCCCGAGAAGCATCCCAAGAGACCCCAGCGGGCGGGACTGGCGGAAGGCCACTGGGCAGACGTTGCTGACAGAGACACGGACGGCGTCCAACACCTTGAACAGCCTCGGCCAACTGGCCAATCCCCTGGCAATTCCTCCAGGCCAACCATGCACTACATAGTTTCGTCAAGTGTTCTTGGTAATCAGTTTTTGGGGCAGGTGTCAGTGGCTAACCAGGGGCGACACCCCCTCCTGGGTGCGCGCGTCCCCCAGAGACCGCCCCCTCTAAGACGAGCCAAAACCCCTGTCAGCAAAGCTCCGAGACAACATCGAGACCCGACCTTACGGCCGCAACGAAAGCCTTACCGTGCTCGAAGGGCCCCAAACAAGCTCTCAAGTGTCCCCGAAAGGCCCCAAGAAGACCCCAAGGGGCACCCAAGAAGTTCAGATCGCGGCCATGGGACAACCAAATTCTGGAAAACGTGCATGAGTGATGTTGCCATGCTTCCAACAGACTTCGACCAAAGATGGTCGCGGACAGGTTTCAGGGAGACCCTAAAAAACCCCTAAGAAAGCCCAAGACGACCACAAGAAGTCCTCAAGGACCCAAGGGCCCCCCAAAGACGGCCAAGACTGCCCCAAGAGGGCTCCAAATTGGCCCCTAAACCCGCCCAGACGACACCAAGATAGTTCAACCGACCCCCTTTCCAAGACAGACTAACCCTCCAGTGACTACAAGAGTCCCACAAAAGACCCCTAGAACCCTTGAATCAGGCCCAAGGAGGCAACAAACAATCACGCAATGTTACGGCCGGGCCACGCTACCACGTTGCGATAATTCCTGTATGAGCCATGTATGCACGTGCATATGATTGCGTCGCCGACAAGTTGGCGGGGCTTCACGCAACCACTGGGTAGATTCAACAACGTCTTAGATTAGCTCGAGCAACTATAGTTTTCAACAAATGTTTCAAACACTTTTTTTAAAAAAAAAAATAATAAAAAAAAAAAAAAAAAAAAAAAAAAAAAAAAAAAAAAAAAAAAAAAAAAAAAAAAAAAAAAAAAAAAAAAAAAAAAAAAAAAAAAAAAAAAAAAAAAACTGAGCGGGATTTCGAAAGGATCTCGAAACAAACAAGATATGCTTGTCAAGGGTGGAAAGAATACAACTGGCAAAGGCTGGAAAAAACTGAAAGATTGGTCTCGTCCGCTTTTGTCGGATTCCATCAACAGCCGAAGCCTGGCCAGAAGGAGCCTTCGAAAGGAAACCGGACAAGTGCGCGGTCCAGCGCAGCCAAGACGCACAATAAGTGCCCGAGGAGAGACCTAAGAAAGGATCTAGCGAACCCCGAACCCCCGCTGAAACCAAAGCAGCACAATTTCCAACGCTTCGACTTCACAAGTTTGCATGTCCTTGCGCAGCGAGAGAGAGAGAGAGAGTGAGAGAGTGAGAGAGAGAGAGAGCCGTGCACGTCCAGGGTGCATTGGCAGTAGTGGCACTCGGGCTCATACCAGTGCTCAGAAGCAGAGGCGCCTGGCAGCTGCGCGCCACGCGCGTGCGGAACCTTGCCACAAGTCTTGCAGAGGTGCTGGTCCACCTGCTGCCTGGCATGCGAGGTCGCACACGCAGCGGTTCCATTTATTTCTGGGCCGGCCGCGCTTGCGGGGGCCACGCGGGCGGGCTAGGTCAAAACCCCCCGGCGTGAAAACGCAGCGCCTCACTGCACTGCCGCCCGGTTGCCGCGCAACGTCTCCCATCAGGACCAGTTGTCTGTACGCCAGCAGAGAGCTCAACTTTTTACACCCGCATGTACCAAGCACGGTCTCGCTGGTGATGTGGCTCACGTACGAATGCCCTATGCCGGCAACTTTTCGCAGGCACCGTGCTTGGAATGCGCTCAACTTGTTCTCCTCGGCCTTGTTGGTCCACACGGTGCGCAAACAGTACATGCGTTTGGATGCGACGCATGCTTCAAATATGCGCACCTTCTTTGACAACGGTATCTTACAATGCTTCCAAACACGGCATAGCGTACTGAAGTCTGCCGCTGCCATGCCCAAGCGTCTGCTCAGCTCGGGGCTGCTTCCTCCGCTGGCAGTCAGGAGGCCGCCCAGATAGACCATGCTCTCCTTGCACGGCACTGCTGCGCCGCCCGGTCTAGTCAACGTGGTCTGGCACCGAATTGGCATAGCTTCTATCTTGCTCCAATTTAATGCCAGGCCGTAGTGCTTCCCCGCTTCCTGGATGCACATCATGAGCGCGCTCACGAACTCACCGTTGGTGCCAACCACGAGCGCGTCGTCCGCGTAAATCAACTCGCTGACCGGAAGACGCCCCTCCTGAGCGAAGCCCTGCCGCTTGAAACCATCCGCGGCGTCGCGCATCAGGGCGGTCATCACGATGGAGAACAGGAACGGCGACAAAGGGCACCCCTGCGAGATGCCGTACTCTTGCGTCCAAGACTCGGACACAGCTCCGGCCTCACGCACCCTGAACGACCAGTTTGTGTAAATCGCCCTGACGCATTCGGAAAATTGCGTGGGTACGCCGAATCGCCGTAGAGTTTGCAATCAACCCACTGGTGATACACTGTCGAAGGCCTTTGCCCAGTCCAATGCCAAGAAGACCACCTGGCCGGAGCGGGAATCCCACGTAGCTTCGATAACCTTTCTCGGGCGACAAATAAAGCGTCCGCCGTGCCGCGGCCACTTCTGAAGCCGCACTGCGTGCCCCAGATTCGACGCTCTGCCCCCGCGCCCTTTAGCCGAACAAGTAAGATCATGGCATACAGCTTGTACCCAATCGGTAGCAGGGATATAGGCCTGTAGTTGGCACAGTCCGCAACGTCGCCCTTCTCATAGACCGCGGCGACGAGCGCTTCGTGCCACGCTGCGGGAACGGACTGCTCATCCATGCACCTGTTGCACAACGCTGTAACCCATTCCACCGCTGGAGTGTCTGGCATGCGAATCGTCTTCCAGAACTCCGCCGGGATGTCGTCACTGCCTGGCGCTTTCTTCCGTTTGAGCTGGCGGGCTGCCTCGCGCACCTCCTCCGGGCTGATTCGGCCGCATTCGACGGGTCGTCGACGACGGTCGTCGGCCGCACAGCCCATTGAACCTTGGAGAAGTATTCCGCCAAAGTTTCGGCCCTCAGGTCTCTGTCCACTTGATGCCCTCGCGAATCCCGCATGCGTCCTTGCTGCTTTTGTGGGCCTTTCCTGAGCTTCCTGATCTCTGTCCGATCACCAGAGGCCAGCATTTCGTCCAGCCATTTGCCACGGTCAGCTTTCACAGCAGCTTTGATCCTGCCGCGCAGTCGCTTCTCAGCCTCGTAGTCGCCACTCTGTCGTGCATCTCCCCGCAAAGCAATCAACTGTAGAGTAGCCGCACTGACCCATGGCCTGTTCTTGGTGCCCATCACTTCCGGCAGACATTTCCGCGCAGCGTCGGCGAAAGCGTCCACCATGGTGGCGTTGAGCTGGTCTATCGCGCCCTCCAAGGGGCCCCCGTTTCTCATGCGATCCACGAAAGCACGCTGGAATGCCGATGCCGGTGGGCCACGCGAGAGCGCTGCGACATCCAGGCGGGCAGCGCGCTGCCGGGCAACTTTCGGACTGCCCATGCACAGGTAGCATTGCAAGAGAAAGTGATGCGATGCCAGAGCGGCACCCCGCACAGAATAAACGTCTCGAACGTGTTCTTGAAGCTGGCGCGAGGCCAATTAGAAGTCGATCTGGCCGGAATGCTCCGGCATGGCTGGATCTGATGGCCGGGACCCGACATTGTAGCATGCGACTTGCTCATCAGGCCGGCGCTCGAAGAACGTGTTGCTGACCGCCAAGTCGCGGGACATGCACAGCTCCAGCAAGAAGCTCCTGTTCGACTCCGGATTGAACTCCGCAGCGGGGTTGCCAGAGATGCACGGTCCCACATACTCCTCCTCATAAGGAAAACGTTTATGAAGTCTCGCAATGAAATCCCCCAGCAATAGCTTGCCTCCGTGCGCGGACACGTTACGAACCATCACATCCAGAGCATGGTAGAATTCGCATCTCTCTGCCACTGGCTTGCCGCTGTGGGGCGCGTATATGCTGAAGATGGGTAGTTTTCCTCCTCACACCCGTGTTTTGGCGAAGGCGACCCTGGAGGATATCATCCGGAATCCAATAATGCTCTCGCGAATGCGTGGCGAAAATAAGGAACCCACCCCTGCTGCATCTTGATCGTCAGGATCTCCAGATAGCACTAATAAGTAGCCCCTGTTGGTCACAGTATATGTTGACTCGTATTTGTGTGTCTCCTGGAGTGCCAAAACATCCATTCCCAGACTCCCCATCAGAATGTGTAGTTCCTCCAGCTTCGTCTCTGCAAGCCCCTCGATGTTCCAAGAGCCAACGGCGACGTCCGTAGCGCAAGGGCGCAACCGCCCACCTCGGAAGTCTGGATCACCCTCTCCAGGTAAAGCTGTCCATGATGAATTCCGTGTTGTGGTGCTTGTGCTTGTACTCGTCGCGTGCAAGTTTGTTGAAGAAGTCGTATGGCAATGTGCTGCAGCTGAGCCAACTGCGGACGCCGATACACTAGACATGCAATCCAAATTCTTTAACCGATAGTTCATAGAAGCAGTATTGCCGGCTGCGGGTGAAACGTCGTGGCCGTGAGCAGCGAGTCAATGGTTGCTGACCCCTCGCCCCCCTCCCTTGGCCTCGCCCTTGGTGCCCTTCATGCCCTTTGCCCCCTTCATGCCGGCGGACGCCCGGGCCAGCAGGTCGTTGCACGTGTTCCCCAGCTCTTTGACGGCGGCGTGGTCGTGCAGCTCCTTCCACGTAGCCCACTCCCCGTGCCACTCGTGGACAACGCCGTCTGAAGACACATGCACTGTCAGAGCATGTTCTCCGCCTACCGTCATGATATACGGGGCCTCCTCCGTGATGGAGATGGCGTACGGGACGGTCCACTCCGTCTTGAGAAGGCGCTTGAGTCCGAAGCAATAGTTTCTGGCAGCGCGATCTGCTGGGAACCTATCCTGGCTGGCCCAGACACGCTTCTGGCCACTGTGTAGGCCCGCACGCCGGAGCAGCTCAACAGCAGGATCCCGCTCAGCCGAAGAAACGAACTCCGCGAAGAGGATCCCCTTGAACTCGCCCTTGCTGTAGATATTCGTGGGCAGAGGGGCGCCCAAGGTCTGCAGCTTGTCCTTGGTCCAGGTCATCGCGTCCTCCAGGTTAGTGAGCCCGTCAAGGTTCCCCATGACCGCCGTCAAGGCCCGCCTGTCCGTGTACCCCCCCGGTGGAGACCTCGAGGTAGGTTGGACAGGAGTCTCATGCACATATTTCTGAATGCACTCACGGATCTTACTCTCGAAGCGGTCGTCGTCCATGCCCTGGTGTTTCTGCAGGTCTTCGTACGTCGACTCGAGCTTCTCCACCCTCACGTCGGTTACGGTGATGCGCTTCTCCAGGGACTCCAGGCGCTCGAACAGCGCGGTGCTCAGGTCTGTGATGTTGGTGTCCATCTTGGCACACTTCTTCTGCAGCTGCGACACGGCCGAAGTGACTGGCGCGAGCTGCTGCTGGAAGAGTGTCGCCATGGCTGCCATGGTCACCGGCTCCTGCGCGGATATGTAGTCTTCCTTGACCTCCTCCTTCTCCTCCTCCTCATCCATGCGGTAGTAGGTCGCCTCTGCATGCTCCCTCGCCAAGCAGTGGCGAGTGGGGTCCTTGTCCCGTGCGGGCGAACTTCATCTTCTCCCACGGGTTCATGGTGAGCACGTCGCGGACAGGAGTACCTGCAAGGCGAGTGCTCCGAGGCCCTGGAGGTGGGGACTGGACTCCGACATCGCTCAGGACTTTCGTCAGCTCAGCCTCAAGGTTCAAAAGGACACGTGTGCCATCGGCGCTGGAGGACGCCATCGGGGCTGCGAAATGAACGATAGGTTCCCGGGCACGGGTCTCGAAGGCGTCCCGGACACGGGTCTTTGAGGGGTCTTTGAGGGGTCTTGAGGGGTCTTGAGCCAGAACTTGAGCCAGAACTTGAGCGTTATTCCAAAAGTGGCTTGAAAGGCACGCTGCACGGCATCTCGTGTCTTGAGTGAGAGATTTTCCCGCCCGACCTGCCCGTCCTCCTCCTCCTCGTGCTCATCACCGTCATCATCATCATCATCATCATCATCATCATCATCATCATCATCATCATCATCATCATCATCATCATCATCATCATCATCATCATCATCATCATCATCATCATCATCATGATCATCACCGCCATGATCATCATCATCAGCATCATCATCATCATCGTCATCATCATCATCATCATCATCGTCATCATCATCAACAACATCATTATCATCATCATCGTCGTCGTCATCATCATGATTTTCATAAGCAGAAGCATCAGCATCATCATCCGCATCAGCATCAGCATATTCATCCTCATCAGCATCATCATAGTCATTATCATCAGCATCCTCATCATCATCATCATCATCATCATCATCAGCAGCATCATCCTCATCAGCATCATAATTTCCTTCTCTTCCCCCACACACACACACACACCCATTCGCTCCCATGTTGCTCATGTTCTTCTGCCTCAGCGGAGGTCCTGGCGCCCACGAAGCTCGAGCCGCTCCCTCCAAATCTTCCAATCGCCCTCGCAGCCCGCGATACCGTGCACGAGGACGAAGAGCTGCAGGGGAGACGCCCTGGGTGCGCGGCTGGCATCAGACCGCGGCTGCCCCGCATCAGGGCGAGAGCGGAGTTATGGAAAGAGTGCGCGCTGCAAGACGTGGGCATGGGGGCGATCGCTTGGCTGGAGTGGGACCTGGGAGCCAGACTGAACATGGGGAGGGCTTGCGCTGAGGGGATCCTCTCGTGGTGAAACTCCGAAAAGCTCTTGGCGTTTCAGAAGGGACGTTTCCGCTCTCTCTTCTGTAACGCGATCTATACCAGGACTGGTGCTGGATTATTAAGTTATGTTGTCGGCACTATTCGCGAGCTGTGCCACGAGAGTGAGGGCACCCTCCGTCACCACCTCTGGGAGTGCCCAGCTTGTCACGACCTCAGGAAGGTCAGTGTGCCTGCTGAGGTCAGGAAGTGGACCTCCGAGGCCGACGACACGTCGGCGTGCTTCGGCATGTTTCCCCACCCAGGAGATCGGTGTCCCCAGCCCCTCTTCGAAGGAGGTATGGTCACTGGTACTAGCGAGGGTTACGAAAAAAACCATGTGTGACACATACTTCGCGGGACACGTGTTTGCAGACAGATCGTGCCTCCGGCATAAAGGTGCCCGAGCTCTCGCGCGCAGGGCGGGCCGCCACGTTGCTGGGCCCAAGCACGACACAAGAGATGGTTCGTAACCACGGGCCTGCCTGCCTCCCGCTCTCCCTCACTCCCTCTCTCTCCCTCCCTCCCTATCCTCCCTCTCCTTCTCCTCCTCCTGCTCCTCCTCCTCCTCCTCCTCCTCCTCCTCCTTCTCTTCCTCCTCCTCTTCCTCCTCCTCCTACCCTCAGGCCCCCAAAAGCGCTGAATATCACACCTTGTGTGCCGATACCAGGTTGATTGCTGCAGCTTCCACGGCCCACTGTCGTTGCCAAAACGTGGTCAGGTTTGCTGATGTGCCGATGCCTTGGATGAAGAAGGCTAGCCATAAGCGTATGCATGCGGGCTGCGCTGGGCTCATTCGTACCAGCTTGCCCTCTATGTGAATGGGCAAAGTGAAAGCTCACCTGCGTGTTGAACAAGCGATCGACGACCGCGGCCATGTTCTTCGGCTCGGTAATCATGTGTTGGACGCGTCAGCACATCTTGCTGTCTCCACTCACACTACCGCCGATTCGGCGCATCTAGCGCTGCTGGACCAGCAGATGTCCGTGGCTCGCTCGGTGGGTTTGTCGACGGCGGAACTTCTCCCAGAATGGCCGCCGCTTCCCCTGGGGGAAGACGTGCTCAGATAGTGCGGAGCGGGCCCCAGGAGGAAGCCTGCCACGCAACACTCGAGTAAGCAGATATCAAACTTCTGGAAGTAACATACCTGCTTGGTTGTCTCTCACGGGCCCAGGGCCCCCGAAAAATACGCGGGGTGCGGTCGGTGGAATGGTTTGACCCCAGCCGCCTGGGTCATGTTCGGGGAGGCCCAAACTGGACCCCTAGGTTATTCGAGGCGCGAGATCATCGGTGGATCGCACCAGAGGTTTCTGAATTGTCTCGTCCGAGTTGCAAAACCAACAGTTGCCACGATCGGGCCAAGAACCTTTCAGAGCCTTTCGAGACTGCCCCGCAGAGTGCGGGAGTCAAGTCTGCTTGGACTCGTATAGCCCATAGGCATCACCCTAAGCGTGATGACTTCACGGTCGAGCGCGGGCCGCGGTCTCAGTGATCACGGTTCGGTCAGGCTGCACGGCCCAATGTGTCGTGGTGCAGCCTTGCACACATCAGTGATGGATGGCCTGTCGTTGGCGGAAAGATCCTCGCGTTCATCTGGAAACCTCCACGAACCTCTGGAAGCCTCCGAAATCGTCCGAAGTCCTCCAAGAGTATCCGAACTTCCCTTCTTGCCGCTACTCCTCCACTCCTCCAGCTTATCGTAAGCATTACCACCACCATCATCCGCATGACCCTGTTCTCATCGCAAGTAACTCATCCTCATCGGCTTCCTCGTCTTCCTCCTCCTCCTCCTCCTCCTCCTCCTCCTCATCATCATCATCATCATCAGCATCATCATCATCATGACCAGCATCGTCCTCATCATCAGCAGCATCAGCCTCCTCATCATCGTCAACGTCGTCGTCATCTGCGTCGTCGTCATCATCAGCATGCTATTCATCATCAGCAGCAGTACCATCATCAGCATCGGCATCAGTAGCTTCATAATCATCAGCAGCATCAGCATCAGCATATTCATAATCATCAGCACCATCATCGTAATCATCAGCATCATCAGTACCCTCATCATTATCATCAGCATCATCAGCCTCATCATCAGCAGTATCATCATCATCCTCATCAAAACCATCATCATCATCATCATCATCATCATCATCATCATCATCATCATCATCGTCATCCGCATCAGCTTCATCATCATCATCAGAATCATCATCGTCATACTCCGTACCATCAGCATCAGCACAATCAGCAGCAGCAGTATCATCATAACCACAACCAGCATCGTCAACATCATCGGTCTCGTCACCATCATCAGCATCAATATCATCATCGTCGTCGTGAGCGTCATCGTCATCGTCATCGGCATCGTCGTCATCGTCATCGGCATCGCCATCCTCGTGGTCGTCGTCATCATCGTCATCGTCATCGTCGTCGTCGCCGTCATCGTCATCGTATCATGGTCATCGTCCACATCGTCATCGCCATGTAACGCTTCCTAACCAGCAGCATCACCACTGTTAACAGAAGCAGCATCCTCACCATCAGCATTGGCAGCCTCATCCTAAACATCCACCCTCACTGTCATCATCGGTAGTGTCCTATCATCCTCGTCATCACCTTCGTCCTCGACCTCGTGCTCTGCCTGATCATGATTATAATCAGCAGCAGCATCAGCATCAGCAGCCGCAGCAGCAGTATCACCCTCATCATCATGATCGTTATCATGCACATCAGCAGCATCATCATCAGCATCAGCATCAGCATTAGCATCAGCATTAGCATCAGCATCATCATCATCATCATCATCATTGTAATCATCATCATCCTTATCATCAGAAGCAGCATCATCATCACCACCACCACCACCACCATCATCATCATCATCAGCATCATCAGCATCATCATCATCATCATCATCATCATCATCATCATCATCATCATCATCATATGTGATCCCCCTCATGCTGCTGATGGCGCCTCGCTGGAGGAGGCAGCAAGGGGCAGGGAAAGAGGCGCCGACAGCGCATCTTGGCGACGCGTCGGGGGGGCCTCCTCCCGGTTGTGGTGCTGCTGCTCGCAGAAGACGCGCCTGCAGAGAGCGGAGGCAGGATTCCGAGCCGAATTCGGATTCGGAACGCCGCGAAGCCACATCAATTTCTTCGGAGCAAGACCTCACAAGAAGCGTAAGAGATACTCCTTCCTCTTCTGCTTGATCTGGAGGGGAGGAGGAGGGGAAGGGGAAGGCAAAGCATAGAAAGAGACCACGTGTACCAAAATCAGCGTTATAATGAATCAACATACGGCTGGCCTTAGGACAGAAGAACATCCTTCAAAAACATGAGACCCTCCACGGGCCAAACTGAAGAACATTCGAGGGTACCCTGCCCCAGGATGCACAAGAAAATCAAATTAACACGAAGAACATGACGGTGCATTCCCCGAACCGACCTCAATCGTATACCTCGGTCCGACCGTACGTACATCTGACCAGATCTGCTTAAAAAAACTCACCAGCACCTCACATTTTCAACACACCAAGGATTCGTTAATATTTTGGTTGGGGTATGATGGGTCCGGGTAGGGATCGGGCAGAGCTCGGGTAAGATTTTGGCGAATGCAAGACACAAGTATGGTAGATGGGAACGGTTTGTGACGGCGTGTGATTCTGGTACAGCTCGAACTAGATTCTGGTAAGGCTCCAGTCTGTCGTTGGCACGACTATCGTGCTGTTTGTGGTCGGGCTCCAATGGTATTATGATGATCCCGGCCCCCCTCGACACTCCACCTCAGAAGCTACGAGAAGTGAGGTCACTTGGTCAAAAACTCCAAACAACAAGGAAACTACCACTGGCACCCACCACACTGGCCACCAGCCATCTTACCAGTACCTCACCACAGCTCTACCAGGACCCCGCCAACAGCATGTCAGCACCCTGCCAGCCTTCAGAACGTAACCGTGCAGTTCCACTGCCCTGCTGGCTCTCTAAAATTCTTGGTCGGCGGGACGAAAGCGAACCTCTTCCGCTAACAGCTACGCGGGCTACGCACAGTTTTAATTAGGGAGACAGGGCATAGGACGGCGGGTACTGGCTTTTTTACAAGCATGGCACGCCAGCAGCATTGCGTGACATCGTTGTGAATGGTCCAGCTGTCGCGCGTGTGTTTTGCTCCCCGGGGCGTGGCTCCCTGGACGAAGAGAAGAGGCACAGCACCTAGAAATACACACTGTGCAGACGCGGTCCCGCGTCAAACATGCAAAGCGGCCCTGGGCACTCAGCCACTGGGACCACACCGCCCACTGTTTCCAACGACGCCCTGTCCGCCCGCTTGATGCGGGGTCCACTCTTGCACCATGCAGAGTACCGCGTTGCGCGATGATGCTTCTCGGATGATCGAATCAACGTTTGGGCAAAACTATCGCTAGGGCACCGCGGAATGTCTTTGTGAAGCAACCCGTGGCCCACGCATCACATGTCCTGTGCCACTTGCGCTGCGAAGCCCATGGGTGCACGCGGTGCCGAAGTGGATGTGCAGGAGCAGGTGCGCCGCGGACTGGTACTGGGGACGAAGTCCTGGAGGGTGAAGGAGAAGGTGTTGCCGTCGACGGCGCATCGCGAACACCAGCCTCAAGCGCTGCAGAGGAAGACGTGCCACTTGACCAGGTCGACGCCCAGGAAGAAGAGAAGCACCACGAAGGCGATGTGCAACGTTGTGCCACCGGGTGATGCGGAAGAGGCCCGGGGTGGTAGTCCAATCCACGACCAGGTAGCAGCTTGCTTGAGGAGCGGCCACATACGAGGGGGCCGCTCATGACCGACAGGATGTCGGTGGACTGCAGGGAGAAAACCTGCCCTGCACCTCCAGCGCGTGAAAACGGGCAGCAGCCAACCAACAACATACAAACAAACACAACCAAAAAACGACGACGCAGTCGAAAAGCGGGGAGGAGACGGAAGGATACGCCAAAGGGAGTGGAGGAGGAGCGGGGGAAGGAGCTGGGATCAGGGATGGAGGGAGGGAGCGCAACGGGAGGGACCAGGGACGCGGGAGCGCAGGGACGGCAGTGCGGGGACAGGGGAGCAGCGCCGCAGGTTCGGCCAGCACCGAACCGAGAAATCGGCTCGGACTGGGATGCGCGTCGATGGGACCGCATCGGCACGGAGTCGACGTCGAACCAGATCGGCTGCGCCAGGACGCAGAACAACGTCACGCAGGCATCGGGCTGCATCGGATCGCCGGACTGCCTGGGTCGAATCGGATCGGGCTGGCCAAAAACGCTACCGAATCGGATCGATCGGATCGACTTGGACGCCTGGCAGCGGCGGGAACGCCTGTGCAAGGGGTGCGACAGGTTCGCGTCGTGACGACCTGCGCACTGGTCTCCGCGATACCGCGCGGATCGCTCGGCCTGGACAGCGATCACGGCTCTCCGACAGCCAGGACCGTTCGATGTCGCTCGGTTCCGGACGTTCAACCTGGGACTCGCCACGGGGTCGACACGGCGCGAACCTGCCATCAAGGGGACGCATGGCAGAGCGATTCCACAACTGGCCGCAGGGGCCTCGAGAGGGCGAGCCAACGACCCGGACCTGCTCAAGAAGGGTCGGCCTCTGGAACTTCTTCCGAATGACTGCTCGGCCTTCGCTGCTGAAGGAAGAGAACAAGTCCACCCCAGCCCCACTACGGGTAGTGAAACTGTGCGTCAGCACCAGGGACCCATTTGCACTGATATGAGCTGAACTTCTACCTCTGTTTCTCCACTGGGCAGCGGTTCGGGCTGCGGGTGGCCTAAAGAACGCCTGAGGAGGGGACTCTCCGCAGCAAACGCCACGGCAGACAGCTACTTCCTCAGGGCGTCTTCTCGAGTGCAGCCTGGACAAACCCGCGCTGAATGGCAGCACCGACCTCTGGAACGAGCGCTTGCACTCAGGGTCCCGCAGCTCTGTCCTCGAACACCCAGCGTCGCGATCTGTGCCGCCCGCGGCTCCGAAGAAGGATGGCGGCCTCGGACTCTTGGCCGCTGTGGCTGGGTGCGCGCTTCCAGAGAGATCCACAGAGAACCTGGAGGGCGGGGACCCTCCCTGTGTGCGTCTCTGTCTTTTGTGAGGTCCAGCGCCCTTGGTCAGGTTGTCACAATGAGATGACATGTGAACACCGCGGGTGGTGCACTCACTTACTGAGGCTCTTCTGAAGGATTAGTAAGCCGGCCATTAGCCCTTGCAACTCCGTGTCGAAAGCCGATCGCGCATTCGCATGTATAGGCTAGCAGACTCCGCTCCAAATGGCCGCCTTGCGACATACGGAAAGCAAGCAATTGCACGCCAAACCCTCCACCGACTCCTGGCACGCCACACCATCCAACGACTCCTGATAGCCGATTGAATCCCGTTCCAGCGGCGTGACCCATGCCTCTGCAAGATCTGCGGGCGGCCCTTGGATCCAAGAGCCCTTGCGGCGCGATACCTGGTGGCCCGGTCTCCCGAGGCGCTGGCAGCGCGCTTATACGGCAGCGGCCCCCAGCGCCACTTTGCCCGAAAGTTCCGAGCTGAGGTAAGCCGAGGCAAGATCGGACGAGGCAAGCCGAGACAAACCCTAGTTCGCGAAGGCAATAATGTTGACTTGTATGGCCTTGCAGCTCTGGTGCACTGCATCCCAGCTTCCAAAATTAACTCAAATACGGGACGCGTGCCTCCCTCTGCTCGCAAACCTGCATTCGGATGATCAAACGATGAGTTTGCGACGCGAAACAAGAATGGGACAAAGAACATACGCAGGTGATAGAACGGCTAGATCAGTAGAGCTGGTTGGAGTTTGTCCTAATCGGCCTGACGGTCAAGGGGTCCAGCATCTGCTGCTCGTACTCTGTCCTCTGGAGCTTCTGCCAGAGCATCTCCAAACCACGTTCCAAGCTTTTGTAGGTCACTGCGGGAGAGCTCAGATCGCAAATGCGGTCGTAAATTCGCAGCCAAACGGTCCACTAGGAAAGCTACACGGGTGACCAGCGGCAAAGAATAGAAATTGTCCCAACCTTTGAAACGGATTCGATCTGCCACCATGTCTATTTCAAAAGGGGTCTCCTCAATAGTGAGCAGCTGCCACAAGAGCACACCCACGCTGTACACGTCGCTGAGTCCGGGCAGGAGCAGCCCGCGTAGTACCTCTGGCGGTGCTGCTGCCAGGTTGCCTGGGAAAAGATCAGGATCGCACCACTCCGAGTACACATTGATATGGCGCGGCCGCTCGATGTCGCTGATCATGCGAGCCACCGACAAAGGATAACTGTACCGCTCTGCCGGAGGAAACCGCGGGTGGTGCACGTATCGCATCCGCAGCCGCTCGAGCCGCGCGCAGTGGCCGGCCGCGGCACTCCTGGCGGGCCACTCCTCCAGGACCAGGGAGTTCCCAAAATCGATGAGGCGAGCGCGACCCGACCCGTCCAACGCGCAGTTGGCCAGCGAAATGTCCGCATGGACGATACCCAGTGGCCGCAAGTACGCGACCGCCTTGCGCATCTGATCTGCCATGGCTACGCACTGCGCAACGCGGAACTCGGCGGCAGGGAAGCTGTCCATCGTGGCTCCAGCGTACTCTTGGACCAACGCCCTCAACAGGCGCCCTCTCACCAAGGCTTTTGATGATGCCCAGCTGTCGTCCACGCTCGGCGCAGCGGAAAGCAGTTGAATCACATGGTGACGGCCCTCGTGCACGGGGCCTTGATGGAGGCGAAGTAGCGCCCTGCTTTCTCTGGAGAACTGCGCCTCGACTTCATCGAAGCATCTGGAACCAAAGAGACACCGGACCATGGGGTCTGGTTCATCCGCCGCCCCATGTGATTCATAGGGGGCCACATGCGAACCCTACCCCTACCCCCCACGATTTCTGAGGGGGAGGGTGGGGCTCACTTCGTTCGGGAGCTCCCGAGCGGAGTGAACCCCACCCTCCCCCTCAGAAATCGTGGGGGGTAGGGGTAGGGTTCGCATGTGGCCCCCTAATTCACCACAGGTGGCTCAGGCGTGCGGGAAGATGTGCAAGTTGGTCCTCCGCGGTTTCGTCTCCGAGGCCTCCTGCCGCCGCCCCGCCACCTACGAGGTGT